GTATGTCAGTATCAACAAAGCACAATTACGTTGTGGTCAGCCAATTTGAAACTTAAAAAGTCAGATTTTTTCAGTTGTGGTCCATCAACACACTATAGCCAGTTGATAATCTCATTTAGCAGTAGTTAAGAACAGAGCGATATTTAGAAGTAGAAACCCAACTTTGAATGCCAACTATTTTCCATACCTCCATAGGCCTTTGATGTATGAGGCAATTAGCAGAAGATTAGCAGGAAAGTAATGTGTTTATTCAATAGTTCTTTAACTGCAGTCTGAAGACTAAATTCGCCAGGAGAATGATTTTGGTTCTGTTTACTTGTGGGCTACCTCTTCTCCCACCGGGTCACATACTGATTCAGTGACATGAGTACATCTGCACTACATTGAACAGCAGTTCAGTGTCCCTCTTCTAATCCAGCTCCACATCTGCTGCTGATAAGCCAAACAAAGGCATTACACTTAGCCAAATTGCAAATTGTCCTCTCATCTAAGGTTTGCTTTCATGAAGATACACCAGGGTTCACAAGGTAGCATCAAAATATCAAAGCTACAAACAGCTAAATGCTACAAAGCAGAAAGTGGAAATGTGATACCCCCCACCAAAAAAAAAAAGGACAAAAACAACAACTTTGTTGTAGGTTTGCAGACAACCCTTCCAGTTTTCTTTGTCTTGGTGATGAATTTTTGCAAAGTTCAGAACAGTCGCCCTCTCTGGTCGGAGCTGATGATGGGTGAGACTGCATGGGGGTGGGGGTCGGGTGGAATTAGGACGTCTGGGAGTGCATGGGTGGGAGCAGGAAGCACATGTATAAATCTGAGTGAAGACAGATAAAGACAGAATGTGGCTCAAAGCAATAGAAGCCAGGATAAAACTAATAAAACGTCTCCAGATTTACATTCTGTTAAATTCAAACCGATTCAAAGATAAATGAAAAACAAGTTCTCAACTTATTTTTGCAGCAATATTTGTATTCTGCTGGTTAATAACATTTTAGATGTTCAGTATTTAATAAGTCTTTCTATTTGCTTTTAAAATGTGACTAAATAGAGTTCAGAGGCGTTTACCAAAGTGCTACAGTCAGTTGAAACCCTTATTTGTGCTTTTTTCTTCCCTAAATAATCTTTTAGTACTTGGCTGTCGTTTGAAATTGGACCTATGTCCCGTCCAAGGCTGTTTCACCTCATTTTTCTCACACATGTTCTACTTGTTCAGACTCCATCTTCCTGCTGTTGCAAAACATTTCATTTCCTGAATGAAGCAGAAATATTAGCTTTTGTTTTCAGGTCTACTGACTTTGCTGACAGTCTTTATTCAACTCACCTCAGGCCCCATCTTTTACTTTCTCACTCGGCTGTGAGGAATAGAAAGTTACACTTTTATTATTTGACATGAGCTGTGACGTAATGACATAATAACCCCACAGGTTGTGTATTTTTTTAACTTTTAGTTTTTTCCCAAAAAGCTAAATATTTATTGAATAGTTTCAAATTTGAACATTAAAGGTGCATGGTGTAAGAATGACGCTATAAATGGCCTGTTTTTTTATATAGCACCTTCTAGAGTCCTAAAACCCCCCAAGGTGCTTTACAGCACAGCAGAACCTACTGGGTCACACTTATAGGAATTGAAATACAAATAAAGTGGCTAATATATCCATATATAAAGACATACGAAAAATTGATTGATGGTTGGAAATTTTACTCAAAGGAACCTTAATCCAAAAGGGTTCAAATGAAGGCAACTTGACTTCTTTGGTTTCTTGAAGACTTGAATATGGGAGAGTCAAGCTTATAAGCTGTAGCTGTCTGTTGGTATTTAACGAGCTGAAACTACTCTGGATACCCCTCCTCTCTACCCCCTGATGAGTTGTTAACATCAGTTAGAATTGACAAAGCTCCTTGGATGAGAAGTGAAACGTCTTCAAAAAACTAAAGAAGTCCAGTTGCCCTCATTTGAACCCTTTGCATTACCATGACCTGGATCACTGAGAATATTCACCAGCATGTAGGAACCTTACAGTGAAATAATCACAAAGCAGTCTAATGTCTCAATCCCGGTGGAAGGAAGGACGGTTAGAAACCAATTTCCTTCTCAGCCAGCTGAGGGGTTGCCCATTGTTCTCCTTTTAAATAAGCCAAAGAGGGATGTAGTCTTTGTTTACAGCCTGTCCCGCCTCCATACTCCATACCTAGTACTTATCAACTTACTTTGAGCCCATGGAATTGCCAAATCTGCTCCAGCAAACAGTGCTGTGCTGCCATTTGTAATTATAACCAGTAAAAGGAGCGATCCAGAAGAAAGTTCCTGTAACTCTAAAAAGCCACAGCATCCTTTTGTTTTACTCAAATATCTGGTAAAAATAAATAAATAAATAAAACGGTAAATGGCCAGTATTGGATATAGCACCTTTATTGGTTTCTACAACCCCACAAGAGGATTCGCAACACAATCAGTCATCTACCCATTCACACACAAACACACACACACAAACACACACACACACACACACACACACACACACACACACACACACACACACACACACACACACACTGGTGATGAGTTACAATGTAGCCACAGCTGCCCTGGGGCGCACTGACGGGAGCGAGACTGCCAAACACTGCTCCCTCTGACCACCATGAGCAGAAGGCTGAAGGCTAATGTTGAGCTAACAATGCTAACAGTGAATAAAATAAAAATTGTGGGCTCTAAAAATATCTCAAGCTACTTTTTTCAGTGACCAAATACTCAATATTCCAGTGAAATGTATTCATCTACTTATCAACATACTGTGTTTGATTACTCTTTGCTCATTATCTAGAATCTTCTGGCACGAGTGTGTGACTGGAAGCAGATTTTCAGAGCGGCCTCGTTTGTTTTGATAAATGGACTGCAGTACCCACATTTGACCACAGGATGTCTTTTTTACTTTGCACACCTGTAAACACATTCAGTTTTTACAGTACTTGCGATACGCTTAACAACCCGATAACATGATAAAATAGTGGAGCACACTTTGAATAAACAAAATACCGCATAGTTTTACTGTGGACTAAATAAAGGGCATGGAGGGGTATGCCACCCAACATTTAAATTGTTACCAACTATTTTCACTTCCAGTCAGTCTGAATATTTAGGTCACCAAGCAAAATTGGGATCACCACTGAGTTTTAAGGACGTTTTTACTCACAATGCTAGTTGGATCCATTCACTTACTGTGTTTTATGCTAAACTAAAGCGCATGGAGTACAGCTGTGTCAAGAGAATGAGTAGACTGGTTAAAAAAAATTTCCCACTTATCTAACTCTGGGAAATATGCCAACAAACATAATTTCAATTTTAGGTGGAATATCCCTTTAACTGATTGGTCAGATCCAACAAACAACCCATGTTATCACATGGTTCTGTTAATCGTGGCAAATAAAATTGTAAACATCAGAACTTAGTGCATTAGTGTTGTTGTTTTGTTATACTTGCTCTCGACTTTGTGGTTTGTCAGAACAATTTGCACAGATGAGCTCTCAAAAACTACAGTCCAGCCAGAGTAATCCCGTTTAAAGCGCTTTGGCAGTTTTAGCGTCTGAGATGCTGATGGTGCAGAGTTCCTCCTGGTGAGTTATTAGTTCCTTGAATTTAAGGAACTTGTTTTTTCCCCCATTTAAATAAATCCTAATCTCTCGTTTGTGGAATTGTGTCCACTTTCTTTTTTTTAAACCTGAGTTATAAGGTCCATGCCTTCATTTTATGTTTTTTCTCCCAAAGCTTTACATTTATGCCCCACTTATATTGATTGTAGCTCTTTCAGTTAATAAAAGCTGTTTTTTGCTCATGCATGACCAAGAGCAGAGATTATGATCTCAGTAATGTCTGTGGATGCTTCCTTGTTTGTCAGACTCTGGAGCTGCTGCAGCATTGGTATAAACAAAGAAAACCTCCGCGTTGAAACAGTAGCTGCTTCTGTTTGCAGCTTTGAACTCAGCGGCCAGTAGAAGCTCTTATTTATGTGGACTGAGCATCAGCTGGTTTGTGTCTCATTTCCAGCTGACACTTGTTAGATCTGTTTTAGGCAATTGAGCTTTGATCATTTTTAAAGATTTTTTTTTATGATTAAAGCTTTAGCCAGGATTGATTAATGAAGCCCAATGCCTGCAGAAACAAAAAGGTCGTGTTGATGTTTATAAGAAACTAGCGTGAAAAATTATCTTTAAAAGAGCTCTTAGAAAACGCACTGTTTTGATAACAATTCAGTTGTTTTGTTTATGAAACAGAACCTGAAAGGTGTTGAGCCTGTTGAGCATGCAGCCATCAATACAAGTCTTCGTTCTGGTGCTTATATGGTTAATTTAGTGAAGCAGTAAGAGGAAGGGTTTCATTTGCTGGGGCGGCATGCTGTAGTCAGAGCTCTAGTGTTTCATCCAGACGTGGGTCCATCCCTCTGAGCAAAACTCCAGCCCCTTCATCTGGTTTTATTTAAGGCCCTGAGTGCCGACTCTTACGATTGGCGTACACAACCCCCCTACTCTCCCTCCAGCTCCAGCCCCAACTGAGGAAAAGGAGGCTTTTAGCAGATGGTTTATTTTCCAAGGGAAACTATTTCTTTCTCTGACTCTTCTGTCCTGTCCTCAACTGGCTCCAGTTCACTCCTTAGCTTCTGCTACAACTCCTGCTCTGCTGGTGTGCTTTCTCCTTAAACACTGCTCACATGTCCATCGTCTACTTACCTGACCTTACTGAACATGGATACATTTACTTCAGTAAAACAGGATGGATTTTGATTTTTCTATTTTTGGAGGATCTTCCTTAAGCTTGTAGCATCTCATTGTTGGGCTGGATGGGGATGCAGCTCTATGGCTAGACTGTGGGGAAGATGCACTGAATCTTGTGATTGGCTGAGCTCTACAGACAAAGTGGCCTATGGCACAACGAGTGACCAGCAGTCGTTCTCGTGGACCTATGGCTGGCAGCTGGCTGACAGCATGTTTTTTTCCATCGACTCCAGGTCTGGATGCTTCGGACCCCATGCTCCTGGAACAATACGTGGTGGTGGCCAATTACCAGAAACAAGAGCCTGCAGAAATCAGTCTCCAAGCAGGCGAGCTTGTCGACGTCATTGAGAAGAGCGAGAGCGGTGAGTAATCAAAACAATCAGCAGCGTGTGTGCTACGTGTACATCAGACATTGATAAGCTTGATCATAAATAAGTCTACTGTTATTCAGTTGTCTATTTTTGACTTCAAAACTCTACCCTACCACCTTTTCTGTGCAAAGCTTGCTAGCTGTGACTTAGCCCCATCTGGAGGCTTGCTTTGGCCTAAAGTCAGCCCTGTTTTTCACACTGTTGGTTTAGGCTGTGAGCCAGGTTGTTGCCTCTAGCAAGAGGAATGTCTTCCAAACTCGTTTTTATTATTCAACCTCACTTTAATGGAAAGCCAGGAAGACATGCTGGGTTTACAAATGCCAGCTGCAGAGAGCCCTTAGTCAGCTGTTTAACCTCTGGAAAGAGCTGGGAGACAGGGCCCAGTTAGTGTTTAGGGTGTATGTAATTCCGTTTGACAATTGTAAATGGATAATGCATCACATGCATGTTAATTTAACCCACATCTAAGCCTAATTTAACAGGTAAACTGTAACATTTTCAGTCACATGGGAGAAACCCTCAATTGTTTTTCTACCAAACATTGTGTGATGTCTACATTCAGAAAAGTCTGTCACAACCTGGTTAAGACGCCAGCCTGCCTCACTTTTCCATAAGGGATTTTTAGTAAAATGGCTGCAGAGTCTCAGCAACAAGGTCTGATGTTCAGCTTTAGTGGTGTGCTGAGACAGTAAAACAGTAATGGAAGTCATATGTTCCTCAGTGGGCGAGGAAGGAGCAGAAGAGATGGAAGAGGAAACTGTGACAAGTAAAGTAGTTTGACTTGGGTTTCACGATGGATGTGACTACCACACCGGCCTTAAGGAGGGTGGATCTCTTTGAAGTGTTCTGCCAGAGTTCACGGATTTGTTTTCCCTTCCCTCCAGCTGAACTGTAGCCTGATGGGGAGCCACAGTGAGGCGGATACTCCAACACCTTGAAGTCTTTTCATCAGGGACCTTATACAAGTTTTTTCCTATATGATTCTGAACTCCAAGGCCAAGTGCTTTCAAGTAGAGGCCCTTTGACCTTTGTGTATCTGCTAACCCTTGTGCAGCCTTGGTTGCAGAATTATGATTTGCAGACGTCCTTTTGGGTATCATACACCCGTGATTTGGCTTTTTATCACACTTTAGAAAAGCAAAATATGATGCACGACACTTTTGAAAGAGCCCATTTTTAGTCATTGTGCTGGATTTAGCAGCACAGTTAACATTCAGCTGAAATCTCTGAACCTCCTGCAGTGGAAGTCAGCTGGAACGGCACCATTTGGCTGGGTGACATTACTCCATATCCCTCTGCCAATACTAACAAGACCAGGTGTGAGCTAAGAAGATTTCAGAGCTCAATTGATTTAGCATCCCTTTTCTTGACAAAGTACAAATCCTGTAATGGCTTCTGACGGATTGATCGGTGAATTACACACCCAGAGTGAAGAAGTTGAATTAGAGGTACTAAAAGTGTCTACTTCATTTGAAGAACTGTTTAGATTTTCAAGCTGCACAGAATAGAACCAGCAATGTATTTAGATTTATTAGGAAGCGTCATTCTGTCATTTTATTCAGTGCTAGAGCCGTGCTCCATTACAGCGTATTGTACAATTGATTTATTCATTACTTTTAGCAGAATTGCTGCTGTTAAAGCTACTGTAACCATGGACAATGGCTGCCATCGGCAACATTATCGATTACTTTTCCTTACTTTGGGTTAGATAATATATGCCTTTAACAGCACAGCAAATCTAGGTCAGCGCTTAAAACAAGCTCAGCTTTCTCAGCTTTTTTCTATCCTGCCAACCGAAGCCAAGCAAGTAGTTTCCATTGCACTGTCTTGACAGTACAGTTTGTGTTTTGGTCTGGTTCAGTTGGAACTGTAATCCATGCAGCTTGCTGGTTTGTTGGGTTTGAACAAGGTACACCAATGAGTGCTAATATTTAAGAAAAAGAACAAGATTTTATTAAAACAGATGATAAAGAATTATTTGGTGGAATAGCATGAAAATAAAATATGTCTCTTGCAATGAAGCTTTACTATATAGTTTTTTATATTTTGTCTCCTCTCTTTTTGCAGCCATATCGTCTGTCTGTTTTATCAGCGGTAGTTGCACGCTAAGGAGTGGACTTGTGCATAAAGAAACTCACAGAGAAAATGGAAAAAGCTATTTGCTGCCAAAGTTAGTGGTTCAGAGAGGTTAGTTCGTTATATCGGCTTAATGGATCCTCCAGGATGCCTCCTCAGTTTACACTCCATTGGGCGGATGCTGACCAAACTTGAGCTAGCTGCTTTGCTGATCAGTGTAAATAGGCATCTATATATTTAGTGGTTTACACTTTGTCCTTCTCAGAGGCTGTTGGAGAAGGAAAACATGTACATTTACTACTTTAAATACTGGTGAATGCTATAATTGTCCCTCCACCTTGAAGGCAGCATTGGCCATTTTGTTCATTATCTCCCTTTTTATTTGATGCAGACCCAGCTTTGACTTTATGACGTTACTCCTATTTCTTCCTTCTCAGTGGCCTAGTGGTAGAGTGTCCGCCTTTGAAGGGAGATCGGGATTCAAAGCCTGATCGGGTCATACCAAACACTTTAAGATTGCGACCCAATGCCTACTGGATTGTTTTGTTCCAGACATGATATTATGGTTTATTAATAGTTTGTAATAAACCAATAATTAGCTTATAAATCACATTAGAAAAATGCTTGACACTCAGCTATAACCCTCCCACTGTCTTTATGGGTGACCCCGCGAGGAAAGTTGACCATTGAGCAGGATTGATGGTTTATCCCTTGAGGTCCACGTGGCAGGGGTGAGGTGGTGCTCACTCCTCACCCCTGCCACATGGACCCAAGGGATAAACCATCAACCCTGCTCAATGGTCAACTTTCCTCGCGGGGTTACTCCCATTAGGACAGTGGGAGGGTTAAGGGATTGAATTGGGGGGTTAGACCACCAAATAGTTCCCGAGCGCAGCCGCTGCTGCAGCTCACCGCTCCCCAGAGGGATGGGTCAGATGCAGAGATATAATTTCACCAGTGTGTGATGATGTCGCTTTAATTTTCACTTTTGTTCAGCCATCAAAAAAGCCTGTTTGACCAGATCATGCCATCATTTTTACCCAATCTCTGTACAGTGTTCAGTTCAGTTCAGTTCATTTTATTTATAAAGCACTTTAAAACACCATGCACAGGAACAAAGTGCTGTACATACAGAAAACACATTAAAACAATAGAATAAACAGAAAGCAGCAAAGCGAAATAAATAAACCACATGAGACATAAAATTAAAACAGCCTAATAATAAGAATAAAAACTAGATAAAAACAGCATTGAAACACACAAAAACAGCTAAAATAAGTCAAAAATAAAAAAAAATATATAGTAACCAACATCTCACATGGTGTCAAAAGCAAGGGTAAAGAGGTGTGTTTTCAAGAGTGACTTAAAAACAGGTAAGGAACTGGCCTGTCTTATCTCCAAAGGAAGCTCATTCCACAGTTTAGGAGCTGCTACAGCAAAGACGCGATCTCCTCTAAGTTTACGCCCAGTCCTGGGTACATTCAGGAGCAGCTGATCAGCTGACTTGAGAGAGCGGGAGGGTGTGTAAGGCTGTAACAGGACAGAGAGATAAGAAGGTGCAAGGCCATGGAGACATTTAAAAGCAAACAAAATAATTTTAAAATGAATCCTAAAAGAAATGGGCAGCCAGTGAAGTGAAGCTAAAACAGGGGAAATGTGCTCAAACTTTGGAGTGCCAGTTAAAAGACGGGCGGCGGCATTTTGCACCCTCTGTAGATGACTAATATAAGATGCACTGACCCCAATATAGAGTGCGTTACAGTAATCCAGCCGAGTGGTAACAAAGGCGTGGATCACTGTGTCGAAGTGCTGCCGTGAAAGAATTGGCTTTATTTTCGCCAGCTGCCTGAGGTGAAAGAAGCTAGATTTTACCACCAGTGTTATTTGTATATTCACCATTAGACTTAATTTATATTAAACTGAATGGAGGGAGAGCTTTCAAACTTTTTCTGGCCCCAAAAATTAGCTTGTTGGTTCTTACAGGTAATAATCCTACATTTTGACCAAGTAGTGAGATAAATAACAGCAACTGTTGGATTTTTGCTTTATCTTCATATGGAAAACAATTTCTCACGATATATCCCGTCTTTGTTTTTAGCTAATTTCAATAGGACTGAATTATATTCAAGAACCCAGACTTAATTTAATATAATGTTAAGAAAGCACCTGTATTTCTCCTTTTTGTTTCCTTTTTAACTTACCCCTTAAAGCCAAGTTCACTGAAGGACCGTTTTTTACTTGTTACCTTTGAAATGCAATCAGTCACGCTGAGTTTGACATGATGGCTAAATGTGAAAACAGTATTTTATTTCTTGCATTTAGCTGCCAATATCCTGACAGAACTACGTCACACGGTCACTTAGCATTCATGGACTCGCCCATCTTAGCTCAGCAGAGAAAGCTGTTGTTGGTTTAGCATCCAGGAGAAAGCAGAGGACGTCTTGCATTAGCAACCCCACCACATGGCAGAACTCCTTCTGGCTTGTGTTATTTGTGGAGATGAAACATCAACATTGTGAAGCAAACAGAATCAGTTGTAGAGTTAGCCAATCAGAGGTGGGATGTCCAAATATCAGGAAATAAGACTCCCAAATCCTGTCATCTGAAACTCAACTCTACTCTGGCTAACTTCTAGTTCCTCAAACGGGAGCACCAGAGCCTTCTTCCCACAAAGATCAAATCACAAGTAATTTATTCATACTAGAGACCATTGCAAACGGGTTGAAAAAACAAGTGAACTTGGTCTTTCATTAAGAACCATTTTCTATTACTCTTCTTAGTGTCATCATGACTTGATGTGCAGTGTGGGCCAAAATGACGCTGAAACAATTGAAAATAATTCTACAGTTTTAGGTATTTTTCTAAGGTTTTGTAGTTTATGTATGTTTGCTCCTCTCTTAGCTGCCCCTAATTTT